TTTTTKGRRMMAAMCGAGCGACTCGAAAATTCAGTTACWCAATACGCGCTAAAACTGCAGCACTAAGAGTAACTGTATACAACCAACGAACTTTAGAAATATATCTTTTCTGTCCTCAGAGGGACCGCAACCATGTGAAACGTGTTGCATATGACTGTTTGTGGGTTTTATTCTGAAACGTGTGACTGGTCAGTTTACAATAACATCACATACAAAAGAGCGTTTGAATTACACTTCAGTTTAGTTATACAAGAGTTATTGATAATAACACTTACAATTCAAAAGCAAAATTATTGGTATTTCAAAGCGATATGTCAACGAATTTCAAAGAGGTTAAAGTGTCTCTTATTGCCAGTAGTACTTCTGGCAATGATTTGCCAGAGAAAACTAGTTCTGATGAAGTTCCTTCTAGTTGCAGTAACATTTCATCTACAACTGGAACTGATTCTCAGGCTGATGACTCTGAATCTTCGTTTAAAATTGTACAAGATCTTTTCATGGAACAGCAAGTCATCAACCTTGACATTGAAGCTATGGAAATGCATCATAATCAACTGGAACCTGTGTGTAAGGTTCCCAAGTTAGATCAAAACACGTGCAGCACTCCCTCGCCAATCGGTGAAAACAAAGAAGCATATACATCGTCGACGAGTTTTATTGAAACGTGTGACGAAGTGATGGAGTCTTTGTATACAAACAATTTTTCTTCAACTCTACAGTTATCGGCGAATTTTGACGATACTGATTACTTAGAGCAATGTGAAAATTACRATAAAAGTGATGAATCAGTACTTGAGCAAGACACAGTTGATAACCATCATGATGATAATTTCTACGACGKTGAAGAAACACTTACTGCTGAAGTCATAGAAGATTTAACTCAGGCCTGTTTTGGCGATCAAACYTCTCAACAGCGTGAAGGTACCTTAGAGTCCGAAAATAAGGAAGAAAGGCTTCTGTATCCATCGGCCAAAGTAACTGTTGGATGTACGATGGTTCTTTTAGTTTTATTTRCAATGAAATATAACTTAGCTGGCGTCGCAATTCAGAATATGCTGTCCATTCTTTCCTTGATCCTACCTCAAGGAAATCGTTTATGTTCAACACTTAACAGTTTTAAAAGATACTTTTTCAATCTTCGTAACCCACTGAAATTTCAWTACTATTGTTCATTCTGTCTAACGCATGTCAAAAATAAAGACATTGAAAAGATTTGTCCAAACAGGGGATGTATCAAAGATCTGACAAAGAAAGGCGCTTTGTCATATTTCGTTGAGATTCCAGTTGTTCACCAATTGCGTACATTTTTTTCAAGGCCTTCGTTTTACAACGACATTCATCATCGTTTCAAGAGAAAAACACCAAAGGACGTAATTGGTGACATTTACGATGGGGTACTGTACAAAGAACTTTGCGAAAAAGGTATACTTAATTGTAAAGATAACATTTCGTTTATTGTAAATACTGATGGCGTTCCTGTATTGAAATCATCAAAAGTATCCATTTGGCCAGTTTATATGATTATAAATGAACTTCCTTATAAGAAACGAATGGCAAAAGAAAASATGTTGTTCTGTGGAATTTGGTTTGGAGAAAAGAAACCAGCGATGTGGACATTTTTAAAGCCATTTTGTGAAAGCTTTCGAGAGCTTGAAAAGGGTGTTAAGCTTGAATCTCCAACCAGAGGCAAATTTAATTGCAAAGGTGTAGTAATTGCATGGACAACTGACTTGCCTGCACGTTGTTTAGTTTGTAATGGCATGCAATTTAACGGTGAATATGGATGTTGGAAGTGCCTACAGAAAGGACAAACAGTCAAAGCAGGTTGTGGGCATGTCCACGCATTCCCTTACCAAAGTGAAAACCCCAAAGGACCGACGAGAAGCAAAAATAGTATCATCAAAGACGCACGAGATCTTATTGAAAAACAGATGGCAGGTGAACAGATTAATAAYGTGAATGGCGTAAAAGGTCCCAGTTATTTATCTACTCTTGAACATTATGACACAGTAAGAGGTATTGCAATTGACTATATGCATGGTGTGTTGTTAGGAGTTCAAAAACTGCTACTTAAATTGTGGTTTAGCACTTCTTTCTCTGGAAAACCATACAACTTTTGCTCTTTGTCTCGGAATCTGGATGATCGTCTAAATCACATAACCCCAACACTTGACATTACACGACTTCCTCGCTCTGTTTCAGATCATATGAAATATTGGAAGGCAAACGAGCTCAGATCATTTCTTTTGTTTTACGGAATTCCCTGCCTATATGGYCTCTTACCCGATGTATACTTTAATCACTATGCACTGTTTGTTCACGCCATCTACATACTTTTAAAAGACAAAATCACTGTCACTGAACTTCATAAAGCAGATACTTTGTTACAGAAGTTTTGTGGTCTTTTTGCTGATATTTATGAGGCAAGATTTATGACGCTCAACATCCACCAGCTTCTTCATTTTGCTGATGATGTCAGGGAACTGGGACCTTTGTAYACCCATAGCTGTTTTCCATTTGAGGATAAGAATGGCTTCATAATTAAGCAAATCAATGGAACTCAGTTTGTTGACTCACAGATTATGTATGCAGTTGCTTTAACACAGAAAATCCCAGAACTTAAACAAAGCTRCATTACCCCACAGTCTGTAGAAGAAAAACTCTATTTTGATTTATCCTATCCTCAAAAACCGAAGCGTGGGATGCAAATATCAGAAGGGATGTTTATTCTCGGGACACCCTTCAGGAAAACTCTCAACAATGATGAATTTAAAGCTTTAGAAACATTCCTAGGRCATGCTCCTCAYGCTGTGGAAGTCACTGCCTTTAATCGTATTGAACATAATTCATCATACATATACGGTACTTCATATAAGCGCATTACCAGACRAAATTGTTCAACTATTAAATACAAGGTTGGATCGACAGCCTTTTTTGGACAGGTGTCTTACTTCGTTCAGATGCAAGATGATGRCAGGAAAATATACCTCGCCCTTGTAAATCCACTTCCTTGCATCGGATACAATCCATCTAYGCATATACATGTTGTAGTTCCAATCGGCCAAGGTGAAAGTTCTCTTGTTGCTGTCAATGTAAGCTCTATMTGTGAAAACTGTATTTACATTTCTTTCCCTTGTGAAACCGCAAGAACATACGTCTGTGAATTTCCGAATAAATTTGAGATGGAGTAATTTCAATTAGAATTTTTTTCTGACAAGTTGACCACCTGACATTAACTTCTTAGTTTATTTTTGAAAAAACCTGTTGAACAGTAGTTTTCTTAATTAAATCTTATAGATATAGTAATTTGTACATAGTATTTTCCGTTGATATAGYTAAAAAGTATTAAATGATAATTATTGAAGTGATATGCGGGTCATTAGCATTTATGGTTATATATAAACATCTGCTCACCAGAGAGAGACAGTGTTCCGATTGGCTCAGATAAAGACCGCAATCAACCACTAAAACACCACGTAGACTAGCCACTTAAATTTTACAATTATCTTCAAGCTCTGAAAACTATAAATTTAAGTCTACGTATGTTATTTTTCTTTGACATAAAAATGGGTAAAACAAATTCAAGAGTATAACAATTTGAATARAATTCAAATGTTATTAAATTGCAAGCCGACAAATATAATTCGGTAGTCAATTGAAATTTTAAGGAATCCTCCGTTCTAGCCGACTTTTAAAAATGTATAAACACACTCTCTCAGAGTAGGTTTAAATAGGGTTTTTTTAAGTAGGTTTGTAAATATTCCATTGCAAAATTTTTAGCATTATAACTAGCGAACCARAATCCCGGTCGCGTTTGTTATGGCAGCGCGCTGTCATTCCAAGTTTATGCCCATGTGGTCACTTAATTGCAGCTCGTCCRCTCGTGTTAATTTTTATATTGAAAACTGTATAAAGTACAATATTCTGGCCAAAGAAAATCAACTCAAGACTGCTTCAATTCCGATTATCAAAAGTAAGAGATTTTTTGAAGCTTTCGRTCAAATTCACTACTTATAATTCATAGAATATCGATAATCATCCAAACGTCATTGCGCATAATTCTAAATTATAAAAT